TTTCTACAGCATACAGCAGCACGCTGGACTTTTCACCTGACAGAATTAGCATTTTTAAAACTATTGAAATTGTAAAAGTAGAAGTAATGCAGGAAAAAATATATAAAATACAGATGCTTTAACCTTATACTGGTTACTGCCAGTGTTGTTTTTGACAGCCATTTTGGAATTACTGTTAGTTTTTAGTCTTCAGGACAAAAACTATTATTAGTCTTAGTCGCATTTTAGTCATTACGATATGTGATAGTTTTAGTCAACTTAAACTTAAGCTTTAGTCTAGTTTTAGTCAGCTTTATGTAGCAAAAAAATAATAAATTAACCTTAACAATTTCTAATAACAATCAGATTCTTTACTAGACTGACAGCTCTAACCTAGACAGTGGTGTCAAAAGTTCACACATTTGTTACTTAAGTAAAAGTATAGATACTTCAGTTAAAAAAACCCTGCCCCTCCTTGCCTGCTCCTTTCCAGTCAAGCGTTGGCTTTGGTGTGGCCTTAAAGAGGATTGAAAGGCCAAAAAATGTGAGTTTGCTGAAAGGGGCCAGGATGCTGCAGCAAGAGCGGCCTCTGCTGGGCTAAAAGCTTACAGCACCTGGTATTCCCAGGCGGTCTCCCATCCAAGTACTAACCAGGCCCGACCCTGCTTAGCTTCCGAGATCAGACGAGATCGGGCGTGTTCAGGGTGGTATGGCCGTAAGCCGCTGGTGCTCAGCCAAGCAGCCTATTTCTATAGCATACAGCAGCACACTGGACTTTTCTTTCTAGCTTTGCTTTTTCACCTGCTGCTTTGGAACATCTCTTTATTCTGGAGATGGACTTGTGCTGCTGTGGGACAAAGCCTGACCCGTTCTTTCCTAAATTCAGGGCCTGATGTTTTCTTGCTGCATATGCACTCATCCCCGCATGCTAGCAGAGCCGTCAACTAACAAACTACAAATACTTCCTTACCTTACTGAACTACTACCTTTGGCTATCTATACTTTACTGGACTCATTATTTAAGACAACTTTTCACTTCTACTCTTTACGGTTTTGCAACTAAAATGTAAACACACAGAGTCAAGCAGGAAAAAACTAGAAAATACTCCCAGATGGAGTTAATATAATTGCAAGTTTTCTGTGTCCCTCTTTGCCTGCTCCTTTCCAGTCAAGCGTTGGCTTTGGTGTGGCCTTAAAGAGGATTGAGCTTTGCTTTTTTCACCTGCTGCTTTGGAACATCTCTTTATTCTGGAGATGGACTTGTGCTGCTTTTCTAAATTCAGGGCCTGTATGTTTTCTTGCTGCATATGTATGGAAGCAAATTGTTACCATATTTCAAAAGCATTTCCAGAAATGCTTTTTCCTTTTAAGGATGTGGCTGCATTGTTTGTCTCATAAATTAAATTAGTGATCAATAATCCTGTTTGCATTTGCATTTTCTTCTTTAACACTGCTCATCCTTTTACTTAATTAAAATGAAAAAGAAAAAGACATTTGAAATTTATTTTTCAAAATGTAACCCAGCAAATACATACCAAAATTCAATTTGAAATGTAACATTTGAAAATGAAAAAGCATTTCCAGAAATGCTTTTTCATTTTAAGAATGTGGCTGCATTGTTTGACTCATGAATGAAATTAGTTATCAATCATCCTTATTTGCGTTTTCTTCTTTAAGGCTGCACATTTTATGCCATAATCAAAGAGAAAACACAGCAGACTTTGCTTTTTCCTAAATGCAAATGCAAATAGGATGATTGATTACTAATTTCATTTATGAGTGAAACAATGCAGCCACATTCTTAAAAGGAAAAAGCATTTCTGGAAATGCTTTTTCATTTGAAATATGGTAACAATTTGCTTCCATACATATGCAGCAAGAAAACATCAGGCCCTGAATTTAGGAAAGAACGGGTCAGGCTTTGTCCCACAGCAGCACAAGTCCATCTCCAGAATAAAGAGATGTTCCAAAGCAGCAGGTGAAAAGAACAAAGCTAGAAAGAAAAGTGGAAGGACAAAATAATTTTTTGTGTTGTTGTACAAGATTCATGCAGGTGTTTACATCCAGCGTTGTTTCATGTTTCCTCATAAGATTTGAATTCTTAAATGTGTAACATGTAATTTATTTTTAAGGTATATTTTCCCTAGTTTTATATTTTCAAAGATATATTTCATAATATATAGACAGTACATAAAGCAACGGAACAAATGAAGAGACCACTCCTGTCATGAAGAATTATGCTTATGCATTGTAATGGCAGATATCAGTCTTTAAATTAAAAACTTATGAGCTATTACTGTTATTATCATGATATTTGTACAGAAAATTTTACTTTTAATTCTACCAGGCATTAAGACAACCAATCCAGGGCTTGTCTCTTCATTCAACAAGTCGTGTTACCCTTGTTTAGAAATATGTCGTCATGTTATGAACTAATACTTCATGACAGGTTCGGTCGAAATGTCAGAAAAATTATTGAAAGTTTGTTTGACTTCATTGAGACGGCAGAAGGAGAAAAAAAACGAAGAAAAAACGCATAAACAGAAGCCTTGTTAGTCAAAATTAGCAAATATTTGTGAAACTAAAAGCCCTGTTTAGAAAAAGAATTAATTATAAATATTTGAGATCTGTAAGGGTATATCGCTAGAGTAAATGGAAAAAAGAAGAAGAGAAAAGCATCTTACCTCCATAGAAGTTTATCGCTGGTCTGAATGAACGGCCCGGTGAAGGACGGACGCTGATTGGTCCGTTGAGCACGATCTTCGCTCAGTGATTGGTCTGTTGAGCGCTGAACGCTGCTCAACCATTGGTCTGTTGAGCAGCGGATAGCAAGGGAATACCAGGTGCTGTAAGATTTTTGCCCAGCAGAGGCCGCTCTTGCTGCAGCACCCTGGCCCCACACCATAGCCCTTAGAGTGTTATTTGTTTTTGACAGTAAGTATATTTAGACAGTTTTATACATTTTTTTTAAATACCAATAGACTATAACGAAAATGAACTTAAATAAAAAAGGAGGCAAAGCTAATGAAAATAAAACTAAACTAACATTAGCATTTCTAAAATATTGAAATCATAAAAGTAATGGAGGAAAACATTTTTAATAAAGACAGATGCTTTTATTTTTAAGTTAATTCGCATATAGTTCAGATGGCTGCGTCGATCAGATAAGAAAACTGACTTTTTTGTAGGAAAAAAGGGCGTTCACAACATGTTTTGAATAGTTTAATACCAAGATAATGTAACTTCTTAAAGCAGATCTTATAAATAAATAAAAAAATAAGATCATGAACTAAAGATAGCATAAAATAGATATTTCTGCTTTTTATCATCCCATTCATTTACCCCTTTAAAGCCAAGTGGATCATATTTGATACGTTTTTTAGACCTCTGGAACAGGGGCGTCTCTAGGTTTAAGAGACAAGGGTGGCTCAGCCCCTAGAAGATATTTTTTCAGTGCACCTGCTAAGGCGTTGTCTAAGACAAGGGTGTAACTTTGAGTTGAAAGTTGGTGGGGACGGCTCATAAGGAAAGGGAGCTCCCTGCGCGACACCTTTTTTTTTTTGTTGGAAAGGATAAAGCCAAAAAAATGCGAATAACATTTATCAATTTAATGCTTAAAGTTGAAAACATAACTGTTACAATATTCACTTATATATTTTGTGCAAAAAATATCACATAAATCTAAACAGACAGTACAAATCAAAGAAATCAAATAAATATATAAATTTTGTAGAACATTTATTGACAGTCAATTTTGGGTCACTTTTCAGGATTTCCTGAAAGCGCGCGCATGCGCGCTCACGACGCTACGGAAGCCGGCAGACCAAACCAGCGCATTCAGCTCGGCAAAGTACTCATGCTCTTCCTCAACACTGAAGTCCTCAGACATTTTTCTTTCGTTGTTTCTTTCTTTGCACAGGTAAACAGCACATTTCTTCTTCTACGCTTGCATTATTGGCAGAGCAGACGCTGAATGCGCACTTTCATCTGGTTTGGTCTGCCGGCTTCCGTAGCGTCGTGAGCGCGCATGTGCGCGCTTTCAGGAAATCCTATACACTACTGTTTATGCTCTAAAAACATTCTAAATGACTTCGTTTCGAGTAAATTCTGGATGCTACCCACTCAGGACACTTGGAATACATTGGACGAGCAGTATGGAGGAATATTGACACGTTTTTTGTGGACTTTTATGGACCTTTCTGCCTCGGGCACCATAGACCTCCATTATTTGAATGTCAGCAGACAGCAAGAAGCCTCCCAGATCTCCAGATGCATTTGAGATATCAAAAAAGTACTCCAGAGTGTTGTTCAGCATGGGGGTGAGTAGAAAATGAAGGCTAATCATGTTTTGGGTGTACTATTCCTTTAAGGAAGTTACGCCTATGATTGTTCAGATTAACTTGTCTTCTTTATGGCTTTTATTCGGTGCTTTACTGCATTTGTTTTGGGAAAATATGAGGAAAAAATAAATACAGAAAAAATAAATTTTTTTTTCAAAATCGCAAAATAATTATAGGGTGTCTAATGCCAAAGAAAGGATGACTGAAGCCACCCTTAAATAGGTCTAACGACGCTTATGCTCTGGAACATCTTTGTGATATTCTTTTCTTGAAACCCTGACTTAAACAATCAGACACATGCAGTGAACAGGAAACGTATAAAATATACAGAAATGCCTGTTTACAGATTGATCAAAATAAATGATCTAATTTAACTTAAACAAAATGTATGTTTTTTTTTATTTCATTTGTCAGAAAGTTCAACGACAGTTCATACATTGGAAATTTTGAAATTTCTGTCAATTAAGGTTAAATTCGGCTAAAAATGCACAATAGTAATCATAAAAAAAAAAAGAAACGTTACATATGTGGCCGGATCACATGATTGCTTTATTTAACATGAAGGCGGAAGTGACTTGGATAAGGAAGTTCCTCCCGCGATCTGAATGGCTGAGAGGAGCGGCGCGGCTGCTGATTGGTCAGCTGGAATCCCTACGTCATCGTTACCGGGCGATCCGCATTGTTTACATCCTCTAGAGCCAGATGAACGCTAGCAGAAGTGGAAGCAGGCAGCTGCGGACATGTCACATGCTCTCCTCTGTGAGGAGCACCTCTGAGGAATGTCTAGAGAAGCAGAAAGTCAACAGCTTTTCATGGATTTAACATAAAAAGCGGTGTTTTCTTTATTAGCCTTTCTGCTTTCGCCTCGTGCCCCTTAAACGCTCCGCTGGTTAACTTTGCTTAAGGTAATTTACATGTAAGTTCTACATCTGGCCTGGAAATCCCTAATTTTTCCGCTGGTGTTTAGTTTCAGTTTGTATTCCTGCCTGGGAAGCTCATCCTGACTTTGCGGCTCTTTCAGCTGACAGGACAGAAGATCATAAACTGATGGATTAATCCTTCAGTTTAGAGTTTATTAGAGAAGAAAGCTGCTGAAAAAGAAAAAGGGAACCGAAACAGCGGCTGTTTCTTGAAGCGAAGCTCGTAGCAGCTGAATCTTCAGGATGATTTGAAGCCGCTCGGTTTGGGTGAAGCGCGTGCTCGTTGGTCGCGTGCCAGCATGTCGGACCCGGAGAGGTCTCTGCCCGCAGTCCGGAGGCTCAGCTATGCGGTGGGACACTTCCTCAACGACCTGTGCGCCTCTATGTGGTTCACATACCTGCTGGTTTTCTACCACTCGGTGCTGGGATTCCGCAACACGAATGCAGGTGAGTCACACTTTCCTCCGCTGTCATTTTCTGATGAAACCAGATCACCTGGAAGCACCGCTGAACCTGACATCCATTCATATCTATTTATTCTGTGCCTTTTTACCTGTTTGGATTGAAAATAAAACCTAGAATAGATTATTTCATCCATTGAACCTGTTTTCAAACTTTTAAAGAGCATTACATTTGATTTAATGACCAGGGGCTTTCAAAGTGGGGCCCCCTGGGGGACCACCACTGTGGAAATTGGAAAATAAACATAGAGTCTAATCATTATAAATACGGCAGGGTGATATACAGGGGTGTCAAAAGTTCACACATTTGTTACTTAAGTAGAAGAATAGATACTGCAGTTTAAAAACACTCTGGTAAAAGTTGAAGTATCAACTTGACCTCTTTACTCAAGTAAAAGTGAAAAAATATGTGCTCCAAAAACTACTAAAAGCGGAGGTCTTCAACAGAGGGTGCGCAACCCCTAGGGGGTCCACAGAGGTACTGCATGAAGGTCGCAAAAGTTTTAGTTCATTACACTTATTTTTGTTTTTATATTCCCCCCTGCATTTTTTTCCCACTAGTTGAAATGTCTTTAAATCCACATTAACATGAATTCAACACACTGTAGTAAACAGATAAATGGAGGCAGAAGATGTCTTTCAGTCATCAATGCACACATTCAGCGACACACAGGAGCTCTTTCAAGCTGGGCACCGTTTCATTCACAACACCTGTCCCATCAACCAGGAATCAGAATCAGAAATGCTTTAATAATCCCAGGGCGAAATGACTTTGTAATAGAGTGACTATAGGACCAGTCTGATATAACACAATTTCATACAATATATATAATTATGGGGTCCCTGCTCAATCTGACCATCAGTTTAAGGGTCCCTTGGCCTGGAAAACAATGTAGACCACTGACTTAAAGTATAAAGTAACCTTTAAGAAAAACAGTCAGATGCCACTATATGAATTGGAAGCTCAATTTTACGACTATTTCTAAAAATTCTTGGAGATAGTTCCAAGGATGAGGGAGGTCTTGTTGGTCTCCGTCTCCCGATACGCTCTCGCCTGTGTCCGACCTTTCAGACATTTCAACATCTTTTTCTGAATCCATCATTGTAGCATGGCATTGACAATTCACGTTAGCAGTTTGAAGAACACCTGCTTGCTGCTGATGATTTCCTTTAGCTAACCAGTGAGTGTTTGCATTATATGACTCATCCAATGACACTAGTTTTCACTAGATGTGGGTGGAGCCAATGATCTGCATTGGATGGAGGACATGACGGGAAATATATATTTAGAAACATTAAACCGAAGCTAAGAGTAACGAGTAACGTTTGTTTTAAAAATGTAAGAAATAGAAAGTACAGATATTTGTGTGAAAATGTAATGAGTAGAAGTCAGAAGTAGGAAGAAAAATGGAGTAAAGTACCGTATAAATACCGTACCTAAAAAGTGTACTTAAGTACAGCAACAAAGTATTTGTACTTTGTTACTTGACACCAGAGGTGTTTTTTTTCTACTCAACCTGATTTTATTTATTATAAAAAATGGCATACAAGTACATTACTTTCAAATACTATCTTTATTTCCACCATTGCCTCTGGGAGGTGACCTTAAAGGTATCTTCATTTTCGGAGTGGATCATCTGAATAAACGGTCCTCCTAATTCTCAATCATTCTGGTGATATGTTTACGTAGGGCCGTCTTATGTGCTCGACCCGTTAGCTATATCTTTCTGTGCATGCGCACTTTCAGCCGGTCATTGAAGCTCACCTTTTCTCACCGCGGCTCTTTGAAAACGGCCGAGGGTTGTAAGCAGGGGAGGATCTACGATTCTGGGAGATCAGGGGCTTAGCCCTGAGGGTGAAGATGAGAGGCTAGACTTTCTGGTAAATCCCGTTCTAATGTAAAATATGACAGATTACTGGATTAAATACATTTCTAGTATACTACATGCTATCTCACATAACAATTCCCCCTCCATAACATGGGGAGACATTAATTCACCTGCAAGTCTTTAACCGTGTTCATTCATCTCTTCATCAACAACAAACTCTGTGGATTTGGGGACGTTTGATCATTATTTGCCAAAGTCGGTCAATGATCCGAGTTGTGTTTGGTATTGTTATTGATTTTTGCTAATCTGCTTGTTTGTTTTTAGGGAGATCAGGTCAAGGTGCTGCTCAGTGTTTTTGAGTCGTTCATGTGGGAATATGGAGAAATGAGACTGAATCAATTGACCTAAGGTCCTCTCATTGCATTACAGTATAAAAGGCAGAGAAAAAAGTAGTTCCCTTCTTGAGGATTTGTTCTGTTTATAAATTTCACCCTAACATGATAAAACACACAATAAACAAATTTGATATCTGACCGACAAAAAAAAAACAGCTTTAACTTTCTTTCAGTTAATGTTACAAATGGGATTTTTTTTCCATACTGTCTGTGACCCTTAAACTCATAAAAAAAAAACAGAGTATGTGCCTGAAGATTGAGTCTGTACAGCTAAGAAGGCTCTAGAACTGAGATCTGCTTATATCTAACTAAAATCATTTAAAACTGCATAGATATTGGGTCTTGATCCAAATCCTTGGTGCTTGTGTAAAGGTAACACAGTGATGTATTTTTTTTTCTGATTAGCCTTATTGCAGATGTTGCTGAGTTGTCCAGATAGTTTGTGTTAGTTTGGGTTCAAACATCGGCAGCACCTATCAAGGATGCCAAAACAATCGTTATCGCCATCGACCTTAAAAACCCCGTGTCAGTCGATCTCTACTTATAACTACTGACTATAGATGGCTACGTTTACCTGGACGGAAATAATCGTATTGAAAGCAGAATCAGATCAAAACGTTTCATGTAAACATGTCAGATTGAGTCGATTCGGGTCCGATCGGAAAGAAATTTAAGCATGCATGTAGCGACAGTGGAGAGGAAAAACTCCCTTTTAAGAGGAAGAAACCTCCAGCAGAAACAGGCTCAGTGTGAGCGGCCATCTGCTGAGGCCGACTAACCTGACTCCGCCAGATGGATTTGCTCCGCATATCCATCTGGAAACCTTCCACTGAAGTAATTTTGGCAAGGGGCAAAAATACTGGTTAGCTGATTGGCTTATGTCGGTGATAGACGGGCCAAATAAACCAATCAGATCAACGAGGAAAACACAACCACAAGCCAGGCTACTCTTGCCGAAACCAGTCGGGAGAAGAGCAAAAACATCTTTTCCTCTGAGAAAAGCCTCCAGAGCAGTGTTTTGCTCTTCTTTCAGTGAAGAAATACTCTGTAATCCCGATGAAACTTGCTCGATAGCCACGCTAACGCTAGTTTCATCGGCTGAAGCCGCCATGTTCTTTAGACTGAACTGTCGCGCTTCTCGTTGCGTCACACCTCAACCCGCCTCAAAGCCAACGCTGATTGGACGTTCGTTTGGTGAACGGCTCCAAATTTTCTTTAACGGAGAGTCTCCAGACTGATCTGCGAGTGAAACCTTGAAAGCTCGCAAGATCAGGATGGTCTCACGAGGCTAGAGGCCGACTGGGGTTCAAGGAAATGGAAGCAGAGATACAAAAAGAAGCTGTAAAAGTTGTCGCCTTCCAGGAAACACACAGTCAGGCAGGCGAGCTCAAACATTATCAGGGAAATTAGCTTATTGCTTGAATTGTAGTGGATCAATGTATTTATTTAGGTGAAATTATCTCTGTCAGCAGGTGAAGATTCCAATGGAAATTTCATCCTGAAAGAGGGAGGTGTTTTTTTTCAGTTGCCATTCCGATCGACGTCCATGTTTCACGTCTGTTCGGATCTTTTAGAGTAAAATCATCTCCACTGTATATGTGTGCAACGCCAGCATTACGTTTTTCTCTGTAACCTTCATCCACTGGCTCCTGGTCCTCGGTGCAGGAGGCGGCTCTGAATGTAATGTATGGATGAAAATGGCATCCTGTCCTCTAACCCTGTAGCAAAGGAGCGTTAGCATAAAGCACAGCTGAGCCCTTAACTAAAATTATCTTTAAAAATCATAAAAATAGACAATAGATTAACCTTTTAAAGTAAAAAATAAAAACAAAAGTATGGATAAAAAGATGCAACAAAGGTTCATAATTTGAAACATGCAAAATCAACAGAAATGAATAAAGAACTAAAGGAAAAATAAATGTGCGTAGCTAAAGTTGAGGAAGAGCTTCTTCTTCTACTACTAAAGCTTTGCTGGAAAATTAGACAGTTCTGCTCAAATTATTTGATCTGATCGGATGCTTGGTATATTTATACAAACACCATGATTGGATCGTTGTATTTACTGTCCATGCAAACAGGGATTTTGGATTTCCGATCAACCAAGGTTTAGATCGTATCGAGGAATTATGCACATGTAAATGTAGCTAGTTTCAGTTACAAAAAAAAAAAAAAAAAAGAAAGTTGTCCAGTGTTAACTGGAAAAAAAAGTAAAAGTTTAATACAGTGTTCCTCTTTCAAGGCAGCATTTCCTTTTACATTTGCAATTGAGAACAGATACGGTCTGTTCTGGTCACACAAGTTTTCACTTAATACTTAGAAACACGGGGAGAGATTCTCAAAGTCAATATAGACAGTTTCTCACAAAGGGAAGCATTTTTTTTTAAATAACCTTGGGTCTAAAGAAGTCAGGCCTTTTAAGCCAGGCATACACTGTGAAATATTTTCAATCGTTTTTCAGTCATTGCACGTAGCTACAGCTCAAACTGTACAATGAAACCGCAGGGTTTAAAAGTTCACAGCTCACGATGCATGTTTTCACATTGTGCGACCCGACGTGCGATGTGCTCACACTGCACGTCTAAAAGCCGCTGAGAGATGGCGCTGTTTGGACTTGTCTATCTGGAAGGAGAAGAAGAAGAAGACTTCTCTTGTTTGCACATGCACAGTGCTCAAGATTCTGGCCTGTGACGTCATTGCGTCCTCTACTGTGCATGCGGCACACTTGCGTTGTATGACTGCAGTTCACACAGGAGATCACATACAAGTCGATAATATTTAGAATTATAAACGGCAACGCAAAAAAAAAAGCAGATTTTGCAAAAAAATTGAGTATCAAGGCCTGCAGTGTGAACGTAGCCATTAGGGGTGGAACAGTTCACAAAATCTACGTTTCAGTTCGGTTCAAGGTTTCGTGGTCACGGTTTTCGGTTCCGTTGGGTATATGTTGATTGTTAGCCTGACATGTTGGTCGTTTTGCTGTTAGCATAAACAAAACGTGTTGCAAAATGCTTGCACACTTTTATCCACAACTTTCTTTCCGCCGTCATCGTAGGTCACTCTAAATGCAAAGTGGTCCCATACAGCAGACCTATAAAGTGCTGCTGGCGCGTCTTCCAACTCCTGTTCTTTCCCGCTCGCCATACCCACACAATTCTCCACAACAACTGATTTTTTTCTGCTACACCCGGCTACGCTGCTTCGCTTCTTCTTCTTGTTTACTACTGGTGGTTGGCTTTGGTTGCAGTACCGCCACCTTCTGCTCTGGAGTGTAAACGCTTCGCCTATGAGAAAAAGGAGCAGCGCATGAACCGAACGCAACACACGCAAATCGAACCGAGACAGTCGAACCGAACGGTTCGGACGGTTTTCTTAAACCGTTCCATCCCAGAAGCCATAATAAATGGGGGATGTGATAATGGTGACCTGCAAGAAAAATGGAATCGGTGCAACCACTTTTATCTAAATGGAGTCAATTAACAACCAAACATCTTCTTAGACTTAAGCCACTTTTATTGTCGTTTTACTATATACACAGTGTATACAAAACAAAATCAACCTGATCAATGTCCGGCTCGTTAAATCCACAGGTCGATATTAATGCATGTTGTTTGTTGTTCCTGTCTGCTGCAGGTGTCCTACTACTAATTGGTCAGATCGCTGACGCCATCTGTACTCCCCTGGTTGGCTATGAGTCAGACCAGACCTCTGGTTGTGCTAACTATGGCAAAAGGAAGACCTGGCATTTAGTGGGTAAGTCTGATACTGCCTCCTACGTCACTTTGCCACAAGGTTTAGAAATGATTTACCTTTCTCTAGGAAGCCTTAAGGTCTGTTAATTTGCACCAGAGTTGTGATTCTTGTTTTAAGTATTGAAAACTACAGCTTTTATAGTTTCTTGACTTTCTCCTGCTTTGCCAGCTCAGCTGACTCTGCTTTACAAGGTCCTTTAATGACATCCGTTCAGCTTCAGCTGTCAGAGGCTTTTTAATTTACTGGGCAGATGGCTAAAAGGAGAAATAAAAAAATAAAATCGATTAGAAATTTGAGGATGTTCCTTTGGTGCCCAGTAAAACACTGGAGGGATCCACATTCACATCTTATTGGGAACCAGTATAAAGAACAAATAGGAGCCCTCTGTAGTTTACTCAGTGTTAAGATGTTTTCTTTTTTTTAACTCAGAGTTTTAGTTCGACGCCAAGCTTTGATCCTTTCATTTTTATTTTTGCTGAAAGCAATTAAAACTGGAAACAATGATATCCATGTATAGTTGTGTAATTGAATGAGACACTGCTTCTCTTTCTGTTCAGTAAATATCAGGTGAATTCATTAAATTAAATGTAATTCTTAATTGTATTTCTTTGAATTACATTGAATAACTTAATTTGTAATTTTAAAAGTATTTAAAAAAAACAGAAATGCATTATTAGATATATTTTTCAAATATCAAGATGCAAAATGTGTTCATACTGAAAATATGGAACTCAATTAGGGCCCAGACCTTCTTCCATTTACTCCTGAGATAATGTACAACATAATTGTCTGAAGCTAAGATGAGAAATAGTGTTTGAGGTTTTAATAACGAATAAAGATGATGTCAGGAAAAACATTAACAGGCGTCTCATTTTGAAAAACGTTAAACCAATCAGCCTGTATGATCTGACTGAATTGTTTCTAGGGATGCAGGATATTGGGATTTTGTCCGATATCCGATATGACGATATTTTAAATCTCATGTAGCCGATAACCGATATCGATACCGATGTTAAAGCTGGACAAAAATAAGTAGTCATTGAAAATAGCAGTTTTGTTATCCATTTCTGACACTTTGAAAAATAATATACTCAAATATATTTTCATATGCTGATATCAAATTGATTTTTAAAAACGCAGTATCGATCTATTTTACTTTCAAAATCTCGTGAAATTTCATCGTTCTGTTACAAACTCGTGATATTTTGCAAATTCTTGTGAGATTTTGTTAGTGAAATAGATCGATACCGCGTCAATATATCAATATATAAAAATATGGCAAAATTTCGTAGCATAACGATGACATATAGCAATATTTCATTAGTAAAAGAGATTGATATGGTGTTTTTAAATGGCAATATATCAGCATATGACGATATTGTGATATTTTAATGTATCAATATTTTTTCCCTCGTCTTTAGAAGTTTTTAAGTCTGTAAAAAAGAAGTTTTTGAGGAAGAAGTATTATTATTATAATTTTTTTTTTAGACTTTAGAAACTCAGAAGCTGATCAAATATCGGGTTAAATATCGGTGGGGTGGCCGATGTCCGATATTCAGTTTTAAGGCCGATACAGGCCGATACCGATAGTGGGCCGATTATATCGTTCCTCCCTAATTGTCTCAGTAAAGAGCCTTCAGATGATGTTATAAACTGGTGCTAAAGAAATAAAATTAATTTAATTCAAACTGAATGCACAGCACAAAGAAACGCTATACGATGTGGACCGCCACTGCTCCGAGCTCGGCATTCAGAGACGAGGCAGAGAGGAACATGGCTAGTTAGCAGAGGCTATTTCCTGTCAGCTGGCTTTTAAATAAAAGCCACGTGTGATAATAAAAAAAAAAGTCAACGAAAGTTTCAACACGGCTATTTTCTAGAAGTCTCCTTCCTGTTATTAACGCATGTCTAATATGTGTAATCCAGGAACGGTGAGCGTGTTGGTGTCTTTTGCCTTCATCTTCAACCAATGCCTGGGCTGCGACCAACTCACTCCTCAGTGGGCCAGTTTAATCTACTTTTCGCCGTTCATCATCATCTTCCAGTTCGGCTGGGCTGCCACGCAGATCTCTCACCTCTCTCTCATCCCGGAGCTGGTCCGCTGTGAGCACGCTAAAGTAGAGCTCACTGCTTACAGGTAACACTGGTAAGAGACAGAGCATGCGGCAGCGTGGCGGACTGGTCCATGATCTACGCTCTCTCCCTTCTGTTTGTGCAGGTATGCATTCACAGTCATAGCCAACATCACGGTGTTTGCCCTCGCTTACCTGCTGTTCCACGTTCAGGCCGGAAAGAATGAAGACTCTCTGGGACCAGCGGACATTAACATCTTCAGGGTGAGAACATGGAGAACGCTGCTTTTTCAAATATTTCAAGGCGGTAGCTGCAAGTTTGACTCCTCCTGGCCAGTAGGTGTCGCACTCGCGCTCACTTGCTCTGGTTCTGTTCTGCTTTCATCCAGGTTTGCTAATGCTAATCTTTAGTTAGCATTAGCAAACGACTGAATTGCCTGTTCAGATGGAAATGTGGTAGCCTCCATTTTAACTTCCTTTAAGGAGGTTTCATGTCAGCCCACTATAAAAAAAAAAGAAAGCGAGCCACTATTGCCCTTTAAACCTTAAAAAAAAGATTCTCTAACGTTTTGATATGGAGATATTTGGTGGAACAAGCAGTTCCCCACTAAACCAGAGGGGGGCAGCAGTGACTATTGACAGCTTCAGACTCAAAAAGTCTGCAGGTATTTTACTGAAGACAAAAACACAGGAAAAGGGAACGTTGTTGGTTTCTTAGCAGGATCAACTGAACACCTGAAAACCTATTTTATGGACATTTTTAAACAAAAGTGTAAAGTTACCCTTCCTGCAAACAGGAAGCCTGGGTTCGTAACCCAGCTGAGGGGAAAGAACTGCCAGCATAGGTCTTTAGACAAGGACCCCTCACACTAATTCCGGCTTTGGGGAGTGGCGGCTTAGTGGTTAGGGTGATGCGCTTGGAAGAGCTTCTGAGTTGGAGCCCCACTCCCACGGACTGCCACTCTGGCTCCCTGAGCAAAACACCCTTAACCCCACACTGCTCCCAGCGCGCCGCACGATGGCAACCCACTTCTCCCCAAGTTGAAGGGTTAAATGCAGAGAGTTTGTTTTCTTGTTCTGTACTTGTGACAGTGTGACGACCGTAAAACGCTGGGGAAAAAATGGCTACCGTTCAGTCTGTCCATAAAAAGGAGGGACGTTTCAGTACAATACTTCGAGTTGATTGAGTGACGTACCAAACTTACAAAACACGCTTTCAGAAAATCTTGGCAGCGAATCGTGACTGCGCACTTTCATCTGGTTTGGTCTGCCGCGGTTTCCGTAGCGTCGTGAACGCGCATGTGCGCGCTTTTAGGAAATCCTTTACACTACTGTTTATGCTCTAAAAACATTCTAAATGACTTCGGTTCGAGTAAATTCTGGACGCTACCCACTCAGGACACTTGGAATACATTGGACGAGCAGTATGGAGGAATATTGACACGTTTTTTGTGGACTTTTATTGGGCCTTTCTGCCTCGGTCACCATAGACCTCCATTATTTGAATGTCAGCAGACAGCAAGAAGCCTCCCAGATCTCCAGATGCATTTGAGATATCAAAAAAGTACTCCAGAGTGTTGTTCAGCATGGGGGTGAGTAGAAAATGAAGGCTAATCATGTTTTGGGTGTACTATTCCTTTAAGCTAATAAATGAAACTTTTTCCAAATTCTGTTGGAAGAAAAGCACAGACATCTTTCCCATCTACAAATGCACAAAGTGCTTCTCTTTACTCCTTTAAAAGAGAATTTATCGCTATTTTAACTAAAACGGAGTCAATTGCGGTATCGACAGGTATAGCCATGTTTGTAACGCCCCATGAAGGCCCTTCTGACTGTCATCATTCCTACAAGTCCTGCCCCAAAAAAACACCGCTAACATGTCATTGGTCCGACTCGCTGGTTGTTACGAGACAGACTTTTTAGCGGGAGTCTTTCAAGATGGATTTGTTGTCAGACTGAAAACTCAGATATCGTGACAATGCGGCTTGCAGTGCAAGGTTAGCACCTCATGCCAAGGAACAATCCCAGGGCTTGATGTTAACAATCGCCCGGGGCAAGTAGTTTTTATTGTCGGGAGAGTACAAATTTCATGGCATTTGCCCGCCGGGCAAGTGCAATGATCGCAAAAAAAAAAAATGTTTATCACTCAAAATTACTTTAAAATCACCGACATTCGCCGAAAACGGCCCACAATCGTTGCCGGCGCCATCTTTCTTGTTCTGTACACATTCTCGCGTGATTTGAAAAAGCCGCGTGATTTTCCGCTAGATGGTGTGATTCAGCTCTTGGGGAGAGAATTCTGCAGAGCAGCAGCTGGATGATGAATTTAATCTATACTATAAAACACGCTAGATTAAAAATGATCAGTCAGGGATTAGGAAAATAATAATAATAATTTTATGCGCACAGTGTAAATATTTCTATCATATGGCAGTCTTCTGTACAGCGATGCAGGTCATATATTAAAAAATGTTCATTAAAGTTTTTTCTCTTAGACATTGCAGTGGTGCATTTAAATGTTATAGAGCTAAACATGTTAAATTGGTGAGTAGTAGTAGTGTAAGTTTTTAACCTGTCAAGTTTTTTTTAGATGTTTTAACATTACAATTTATATTTTTCCAAGCACACAACAGTTTAAAGCAAAGTTTAGTTTGAAAAGAATGTGCAGGAAGGATTGAAAAGCATGTTAACACGGTAATGTAGGCTGGAGTTCATTATCTGAAGCATGCAGATACACACCAGGAACCTGGAAACTTACTGAATTACAAAAAACATTTAAAAAAACAAACATGTTTCATTGATATATATACAAAAATGAATATTAGGAACTATATTTATCAAACATTATACTGGGCAAGTAAAAATTGTTTCTGGGCAAATGAAACGTAAAAGTCACTTGCCCTTTGAGCAAGTGGTAAAAATCCTTAACGTCAACCCCTGAATCCTTAACTTAATTTTTCAAAAAGAGTTTTATTATTTTACATATTGGTTCTTTTTAAGTGATGCGGAGCAGCGCCTTAAAAACAGGTTTGTTAGTTTTTTTCCTGTGTGCTGATTTGCTCCGTTCTGAACACAGAACCTTTCCTTGATCGTGTTGGGGATCGGCGCTCTCTTCGCCCTTTTCTTCCACCTGGGAACCACAGAGGGGCGGGGCTCCGGTACGGAATCTGGAGGAGAAGAGGGGAGGAAGAAGACAGAGGAGGAAGAGGAGGCAGAGGGGGAGCGAAGGCCATTGCTGAGTTCCTCCAGCGTCTCCTCGGCCCTCCTGCAGTGGAAATGTTGGCTCCGGCAGCCCTCTTTCTATCAGGTATGCCTCCTAGCAGACCCAAAGCAGCAGCAGAGTGAATGTTTCTGATCCGCGGGTCTCACTGTGTCTGCAGGTGGCCTTACTCTACATGTCCACCAGGCTCATCGTCAATCTCTCTCAGACCTACATCTCCATGTATCTCATCAACACTCTGGGGCTCCCTAAGGTGAAGCGCCGTTTTTATTATGTCGCTCGTCCGTGTGATTGTCGCTCTCATCGTCAACCGTTTTCCCTCCACAGAACTTTATTGCCACCATCCCATTAGTGATGTATGTGAGCGGCTTCCTGTCCTCGTTCATCATGAAGCCCGTCAGCAAACGCATCGGGAAGAGCGTAAGTGGAGCTTTAACGTCGATTTCTTGTGTTATTTTTGTTCTCTGTTGGTGGTAATGGCTGCTCAAACCAAGCTGGCGTCATGATTTCTGTTTCAGCTTTCTGGTATTTGGAGGCTTGAGCAGAGTAGATGAACTTGTTTAGCTTTGTTTTTATTTGCTTCATCAGATTTCAAAGTATCAGGAAGTTAGAAACATGCAGAACTTCTCCTGTTTGTTTTTTTGTGTGCAGCTGACTTACTTTGTGGGCCTCCTGCTGATCATGGCGTTCTCCTACTGGGTGCTGCTAGACAACAAGATGGGCGAGCAGATCTACGGGGCGGCCGTGCTGTTGGGAGCCGGGTCGGCCACCATCTTGGTCATATCGCTCGCCATGACCGCCGAGCTGATCGCAGATCAGACGGTGAGACGTCTCTTCTGAAGCTCCATGTTCCTCCTCTGGTCTCTGTGCTCAGAGGAAGCATGGCTCTCGTTTTTAATCGGTTTCAGACCTCAATTCTGATTGGTCCTTTTGCTTTGCAGCAAAGCGGAGCGTTTGTGTACGGAGCCATGAGCTTCACTGATAAGTTGGCCAACGGAGTCGCGGTCATGATGATTCAATCTCTGCATCCATGCCAGTAAGCCCCTCACACACATTTTCACCCTTCTTTACGTAATGAGGACCATTTGTTGACTCTAAAGCTCCGACTACTCATTACTTTAGTAATAAATGAACCCTTTAAAAAGAAGCGTATCTGAAAAGGATGTGAGATCTCTACGTCATCATTTTGACATTTTTGTCCTTGAAAAACCTAAAACAGGTAAGGTCTAATATATTTAATCTTATACATAATGCAGAAATGCCTAATGTGTCACAGATTATACAATACATTTATCTAAATACTTAAAGGGAAACGCCGTTTTTTTTTTTTTTTTTTTACATTGACCCCTTGATTTTACGTTATCACATCATGTTCTACTCCCCCATATGAGTTTTGTGTCATTTGGAGCCGTTCTGAAGATATTCCGTTAGGTTATATCCAAGTAACCTCTTCCTATGGGCAACGACTTGAAGGCACAAACTAAACTGTTCATAATTTATCATTTATGGTACGCCAGCATTCATAACATGCAGGCCAATCACTGTCCCCCAGAGATCTGTGGTTATATTTTTTATATTTATATCTTTTTAAAACAAAGCGGAGTGTGTATGACGTCATTCCATTGCGTCTGTTTCCAAAAAAGTAAAAAAAAACAATCGACTTTGTTTCTAAGTTTGAAGACGTTTCGCTTTACGAACGGGTCAACCCCTTTGGAATGGAGTCATTTGGCTTCTTTTGTTAGCATGCTATGCCCCATACCTGTCTAAGTATCTGAAAGGGGGGGTCATTAAAGGGGATTGTTAGCCTGGCTAAATAAGAGGTGGACCCGTTCGCCTGTTCAAATTTGCATGTTTTCTAAACAAAAACAAGGCTTTGTTGAGCTACTTTATAACAACGCTATTTCTGACACTTTGGATTAAAAAAGCTGAAACGTCTTCAAACTTGGAAACAAAGTCCAGTGGATTGTTTCTAACTTTTTTGGAATGACTATGACCTGGATGGCTGAGAATCTTCACTAACAAGTCAAATAATCATTTTGATATCGGCTCTTTGTATTCACTCAGGTTATTATTAGTGATGATTAATATTCGCTGATGATGTCAGACACTGTTGAGCTGTTGATTTATTTTTACTCTTCATTACTGTTTTTATCACTGAAACACGCTGAAAGCCTCGTTTTAAAATGGAAAAAAAAAAAAAAGACGAATTCTTCAGCTGTCCATGGCTCAACCTGCTCCGTCTGTGTCCCATCAGTACGGCGGTGTGCTGTCCGGCCTGCGTCTGGTTTTACCACTACGTCATGGTCGCAGTGACGGGGGGCGTGGCCGTCGTCGCAGCCTTAGCGCTCTGCTCCCTCCTCATCTGGCCAATCAAGATCAGGACACGTGAGTGATGCGATCGAAACGATGTGGCGTCAGCATGTAGGCCACAGACGGCTTCACTGTTTTTTCTGTTTTTCTTTCGCAGGTGGCCTGCAGGCTGTCTCTGATGGTTCCACTACAGTAAACTAAGAAGCCTGAGAAGCCACCACCGTGATGGGACCAGTAGGAAACTGCAGCTCTGATCTTGGAGGAACAACAGAGATTAGCTTAGAAAACTGGAAAAGTAGAAGATATGGGAATCCCCATGAATCTTCTTCAAGAAACAAAGCAATTTATTCCTTATTTTTCTGCACCAGGTTTAACCTGGAGCCTATTTGCACCTTTTTCTTGTTGTTTTCTAAATGTTTTCATTCATACGGGTCCATTCTTTCTGCTGATTATAAGACACAGAAGACTCGGTAGATAAAAAAAGGAACCCGGAGCTTTTCTTGATTAAGGCTCCAAACACTATGGCCAGGTTGAAACGAGGATTGAAAAGGGGAACACAACAATTGCACTAAATGTAAATCAACCTAAAGGATGTAAAGGGGTTTCTGTTCAGTTTTTTTTTTTTTTTCTCATGTGTGGAATTCTATTTTAACTCTTTATTATACCAAAAAACACAACTAATAATGATAAAAATTAACTTAAAAACTATTTGCAGTTTTTTTATGAAAAGAAAAAGAACTTGAATGGTTCAAATGAACTCTATCAGTGTTTATTGTATATATTCATAGTGTAATGAAGGGAATCTGGTTCAGCTTTCTATATGTGTGACTAAAATCTGTGGGAAAAGCTGTTGATCAAACTCTGAGCTAAAGCTCGGCTCTCTGAGCTCAGAACCTGAACCATAACTGGGTCTGCTGACCATTTGACCTCTGTATAAATGTGATCATGAGGATGCAATAAGGTGAAATAATTAAACATTGACTGTTGAACCCTTCGGATGCACTGTGCTTTACTGACTTCCAGCAGGGGGCCACTACTTCTGTCAGGAAAGTGTGGAGGCACAAATGAGCAGCTAGACATTCAAAACAAAGCCCTCCTTGCTCCGTCTTAGCGCCACCCATTTCATGACATCATATTACATCACTTTTAAAGGTTGAATGAAGTCAACCGCTGAAGGATTAAAAACGTTTTCACGACTTAGACATTATTTTTTGGGGGTTTTTTGTACTTTATTTTTGATAAGATTTTCCAGAATAAAACACCAACACAAAAAAAGAGGCAATATAACCATAATAAAAGGTGTTAACGTGTGTGTGTGTGTATATATATATATATATATATATATATATATATATATATATATATATAAAAATAAATAAACAAAATTGCAACAAACACAGTGAAAAGCAATCAAAATAGAGAGGTCACCAAGGGAGGGGTACGAAAATACAACACGGAAGAAAATTTCATTATGAACTGTTTTTAGGTGTGTAGGTTACAGAGTATGTAGAGAGTTAAACAGGTTAGAGTTCCTGTGCAGGATTACCATGTCCTGCCAGACAGTACAGCACCAGACCTCTATTATCACCCCGAATGTTAAGTTAATGATCCTCAACTTACTTTAGAATTCCTATAACTTAGCCATTTCAACCAATATTTATGGAATTTGTTTTCCTGGAGTCTTAAGGAGAATGTAAGCATTTCCATTTCACATATTTCTTCCGTGTCTGACCGGTCACACAAAGTCGATGGGCTGCCACTAAGCCACTTTCTTGTTATTGATTTCTTTCCTGCTACCAGCAGTATTTTCAGAAGGTTCTTATCTTGGGAGTTGAGTTCAGTTGGTAAATTGCCTAGATATATAACTTTGAAATTGGGTTCAATTTCAAAACCAAACATGACTCTTATCTCTTTGGCTACCTTTAACTAGTAGGAATGGATCCAACTTATACATTAGTTTCATTCTGACAGAAAATCACAAGTTAGTGTATGGGGAAAAAAAACAATTGCAAAAGGGAAGATCCTTATTGAAATAATTTTATCTGACCTTATACACCACTGATCTCACTATTCACCGGATTGCTGATTGCCCGTTGGTAGTACGGGGTGGAAGTCAAGCCACCTGCCGCCATATTGGGACTCCCTAGTTAGACCGGTCGCAATGTGAACAATAACAACGATGATGTTCTCATTTTCAAAGGGACTTAAAATAAAGATTGATTCGTCACTTTGGGATAAATCAATCACATAAAAAGTGTTGTAATATGTGTAGTCATCTGTCTGAACAGTAAGTTAACTCAGTTCACTATAGAATAAATAAAGTAGTTTTTATTTTATAAGAAGTTTTGTACGTTTCACTTTTGAACAATCAGCAAATGGGGTACGCAAGTCATAAAAGATCGAGGACCATTCGTTTGCTGTAATAATGACTCATTGACACAGGAAAGGAAGGAGGTGCTGGTTAGAGAGCCGAACTCAGGAGGATCACTCAGAAATGCATGAATAAATCAAACCTTTACCAAAACCATGTGTACTTCAGGTTCATATTTTCTATTGTGCAAAAGTATATACCTCAAATTCATTAATGCAAGCATGTTAGAGTTCACTAAAGAGTATGTACTTCTTGGGACTAAATTGGTCCAGTTTAAACCCGCTTTGAAGTACACCTACCGTAAGCTTTCTGGTACACCTTAACTTACTCATAAGCTCCATTTACACTACCCTTTTGAAACTGTACAGAGATCAGTGCGAGTTGTTAAATGAGGAAGTAATGTCCCCTAAAAAAGCCGTTGCGCCTCAGGGGCTTCCTCATGGTTCTTTTCCTGGGAGCAAGTTATTTACTACTCTTAACTCAAACTGGGTAAAACCATATAAAAAAGGACTATAAAACAGGAGTAAAAAGTAACAGAGTTTATTCCAGATCAGGTCGTTACAGGACAGAGAAAATGCTTGGAGCTTGCACAGCTGTGGGCTCAAAAATCACGTCCGCGAGCGTCCGGCAAAACTTGAGCCTCAAACAAGGTCATCTCCTGCTTCTTATAGCTCATGAGTCTATGTGTTGCACCAGGTGGATGCTTTGCTGTCCGTATCAGAAACTGACACGCCATCAATGACCTGACCCATATGCAGCTTGCCTCTATGCCTCAGGGTTACAGATAGCTCTCCTCTATCAGACCGGCTCCAAGATGTGCCCATATCCTGTGTACTCTTAAAGACACGAAGGCTGTCCTGATTAGATGACCTCCATATACACCGTGACATCCACAATGTGAAGGAAGGCCTTCTACTCTCTAATCTGGCTAGCAAAGTAACAATGCACATGATGTATAAAGAATAAACCTAACAGAGTACAGTAACCGAGATAACTGTTGAGTGTAAATGGCACGCACAACTGAACGGGACTGTCAGACACAACCAAACCCTGCTAAACTGGTACTAGTTCATTAGTAGGATTCGGAGCGGTTTAGTTCTTGCTCCGTTCTCAGATAACAAAGAGCTCATGCGCAGACCACGTCATCTCCTTAAAGTCAACCTCAATCCTGAAATTTCAGATATTCATAAAAATCCAAGCTTTCTTGACACGGTTTCAAAACCGTAATGTCAATGAGTCTGTAAAAGTACACTCTAATGTAAAGTGAAATTAATGTTTTAGTCTACATAATAATCCACTCACTGGAAAAAAAATAGAAATCTAGATAACTGTTTTTTTCTTAAAATAAGTGTATTTGTTCTTGGATTTAGTAGGTAAAAGAGAGATTTTGCCAATGGAACAAGACAATTTACACTTACGATAACAAAACATAATTGCATTGTCTTATTTCAGGTGCATTTTATCAAATTTTCTTATTTTAAGAGCAAAAATACTCATTCCATTGGCAAACTAGCTCATTTATCTACTCAAATTAAGCTTAAATACACTTAATTTAAGACATTTCTACTTATTTTTAGATCCTTTTTCCAGTGGTGCTGCTATGATGACATAATCTTTTTCTATTGAAAATAAAAACTTTCTTTTGCAGTTTGACCAGTCGAGTAACCCAGAAGATCCTGGGACCTTTAAACTGGGTGGAGCTTTGATGTTAAATTCTCCAAGCAACCTTCTGGTCACAATAGTTCATCTCAAAACCTTTTTTAATTTACCTTTGGGATCAACAACGTATTTTGGAATTAGAGTGAAAATCCTCCCTTATCTGAGAACTTTGAGAAGATTTTTTCTTAAAATGAGTGCATTTTTTCTTGAATTAAGGATTGAAGTGCCAATGGAACAAGACAATTCACACTTTAAACAAGAAAAAAAACATTTGCATTATCTTATTTAAAGTGCATAATATCTAGATAGCTTATTTTAAGTGTAAAAATACTAATTCCATTGGCAAATCATCTTATTTACCTGCTCAAATTAAGGGTAAATACACTTAATTTAAGAAATTTTTACTCATTTTGAGATCGTTTTTGCAGTGTATACTTGTGGTGTTGGCCACATGAGTTGCTAAAACTCAGCGAATGATTTCACACTGATGTGCAAAGTTCCTTCCCATTCTAAAATATTTCCGACTTTGGAGTAATCCCATTCTATAGTCTGTTCTAATCCAAACCGTTCATGAGTGTAAACAAGTTGATATTAGAGTTCCGTTCACTGGAAGTTTTTTAAGGTATATTTTTAGTAAACTTCTGCTTGCATCAGTATACTTGGTAGATTTGAGATAAGTATATTTTTGTAACCTTAAAAATAAAATAAATGAGCAGCATTATAAATTAATGCTGCTCATTTATTAAAAAGGTTGCAGCTTATAACTTTGCCGCTTTTAGGCCAGCAATAGTTTGTGTTGCAGAGTCAAACTAACCATTGGGTTTCTTTTCTAACTGAATGGCTAAAATAAAAAATGCCCTGTCAAAGTTTTTTTTTAAAGAGATGTGAAGAAACTGACCATAAATCATCAAGTTATTGCCACTAAATGTTGCAATAATTTCCAAGAAAGTGGAAATGACAAAAATTCTTATGACTATGAAAATATATCTTCAGCTCTACCGCAACAGCCTCATGTGAGCAGAGATTAGGTTGTAAGCAGGTTATATAGATAAGGTTGTTTACGTGTTTCTCTTCCTTAGTGGAATTTGTTATATAATGGCAGGACTTACAACTTCTGCTTGTAGGAAGATGCAAAATCAGCAAGAGAGCATGAGGTTTGCAGTTCCTCGTTTTGCTCTTGACTTGCCTTTTTTGTTGTTGTTTCTGTTCCTTTATTTGGTATTTGCGTCTCTCTCAGCTAAGTTCTCCATGTGACTAAAGTTCAAAGTATCTTGAGCTGTTTCACCACATCACTATGACCGCAGAGTGTTGGCGGCTTTCATTGGAATTCAAACGCAACGTTTTCCTCTTTTTCAAATATCCCCTATGCTCCGTTTACTGTATTTTTGCCTCTCATATGTAACTGAATCTGGTCTGGTTCTTTTCAACAGCTTCCTTTTTAGATGGTAGAGCTTTGCAGTGTTAAGTCCTGTTTCTCTCCTGAGCTTTTACTGTGACTAACTGAATGTGCTCTCCTTCATCCTGTTTGATATGAGCTTATCAGCTGCACTACAACATTACATTCATGGGGGGAAAAGCTCCTCTACACTAACCTAAAAGTTCCCATCAGTTTGTAAAATGTTCCACTTTCATTCTAAGTAGCTGCACCTTTGAGATGCAGACAGACGCTATACTCTATGTTTAGGAGAAGACATTTTGCATAAACAGAATAAATAAATAAAATTAGAATAAATTGTCATTTTAAGGTTAGATTAGGTTGTTATAATAAAAGATTTGACAGCCTAAACTCATCTGCAAATTAGTTAAACATGTTTATGTATAAGAAAAACACTCAGTAGATGCTCTTTTTAAATCTTCTATAAGTCAAATCCTTATCATGTATGTAACCATAATGTTACTGTCAACAATGGGTGGTGAGGTTGCTTGAGGACCCAAATGCAGAGATGAGTTCTGATTGATTTAATTGGG